GTCCACACGCAGGCGGCGACGGGAGCATGAGAGAACGCGGGGGAAGCAGAGAAGCACGCGTCCATGGCGGCAGGGGACTTGGCGCAGCAACGGCGAACCGAGCGGAAAAGAGAAGAGCTCGATCATGTCGTACGTCGCTCGGCCGATCGAGATGTACCAGGCAATCCCCTACAGCGCCGGCCGGCTACCGGCGTGCCTGCAGCAGTCCGAGCAGGCCGAGGCCGAGGGCGCGGCCGGCCAGGAGGGTGGGCTCGCGACTCGCCGACATGGTGGCGAGGGGCGACGGCGGGGAGGTGGTGAGGAGGGCGGTGGCAGAGAGCCTGGTGCTGGTGGTGGGGAGGCGCGGGTGCTACCTCAGCCACGTGGTGAAGCGGTTGTTGCAGGGGCTCGGGGTGAACCCCGCCATGCACGAGGTCGCCGACGAGGCCGAGCTCGCTGCAGCGGTGGCCGGGAACGCTGGAGGCGAGGCCGTCGTCGCGCTGCTGGCGGTGTTCGTCGGTGGGAGGAACCTCGGCGGACTCGATCGGCTCATGGTCGTGCACATCTCCGGCGAGCTCGTGCCCATACTCAAGGACGCCGGCGCGCTCTGGCTCTGAGTCTCTGACTCTAAGCAAAACCAAAGATGCATACGGGACGGGATACTACAGACGTACGAACAACCGTTTGATCATGAGTTAAACTTCTTTTCAATTCTCTTTTTGACTCTTGATGAGATTATGTGAGTTACTACTGCTCGATCTTCAGTCTCTCTTCATTGGGATCAATAATGGAGTACCAGCTTAGCTATAGTTAGGCCTAAATTCTTTTGATTACTGTAGGAAAAATTAGGAACTATTGTGCCATCTCGTGCTTATTTTCGACCACACGCTTGTAAATACATGGATGAGTGAAGAGGGGTGTACTATTTAGCACTGTATAAATCATGTTCCTTTCATCTTGCACATTAGTTTTCTAGATGCCAATTCATTTTGTCTTTGAAGGTTTCTTCTAGCAGGCTTATGATGTTATCACGAAATGGCACTATGTTGGATATTTGTAATCCATGAAGGGGTGCTTGTTTGTTGCAGCTGATTTCCCTCTCTCTTCTTCTACAGTACTCCTATTTATCATATATTAATTTTAAATTATTCTGAAAATAGAGGACTCGAACTGATCTCCAATTTTTGGGTTTGTACTGAGCGGTTTCCATAGACTAGACTTTACTCTGTTTTTTACGTAAGATTTTCCTCGTAACTTTCCAACGATCTATGGTATCATTGTCCCCGAACTTGCATGATTTATGTAGTTGAACTGAATTTCATTTTTTTCAAAAATAAAATATTTATTTGCAACGGTGTTTTGGACTTCTCTCATTTTACGACCTAAACATTTACCATTTGAATTTTCATATAGGGTTTTATTTCTGTTTGAGCTTTTTCCGCGTCCCGAGCATGGTGCCGGGGCATGGCGCGTGTTATAGGGTTTTCTTTTGAACTCCATTGTAGTAATACATGGACTTATGTGATGATAGGAATTCTTGGACTAGCACACGACGGTAGAGCACACACGATAAACATTCTGAAGTCGTCTAAGCTACAACATTTGTGGCGCGGGCAACAACGGCGGCGCTCGCGGCGGCACTCGTACTAATCTATGTGTGTGTGTACAGATGAGGTATTTTTTCATAGAGTAATTTTGAATGGTTCCGAAAAAAGTACTAGACTTCACTTTTTTTTGGTATGGCTTTTCCTTGCAACTTTTCAATGGTTTACGGTTTTCATAGTCCTCGAACTTGCATGGATTATATCATTATCATTGAACTGAATGCTATTTTTTGAAAAGAAAATGTTTTGTGTTTTTTTTAACTCAATTTTTTTGCTACGATGTTTTGGACTTCTCGCGTTTTGCGACTTCAACTTTTACCATTTAAATTTTCATGGGTTTTTTATTTTGTTTGAGCTTTTTCCTGAACTTATCTGAGACTTCATGTTTGAACATACAACCGATGATACTAGATCAAACATTTTGATGGAAACAGTAGTTCAAACATTAAAAAGTGCAAAAACGGTAGAAAATTTTAGTTCAGTTACTCTTGCTCAATCACAATCGGGCAGGCCCTGCTCAACACCACCTACCAAGACAGAAACGCTACACCAAACATGTTTTGGACTTACCTAGAGGAAGCTGGCATATAGTGCAAAAGAAATGAGACACGTGACAATGTTATAACCGATGAGACTAGATCAACCACAAAGAAGTGTAGCCATGTTCTTCGCAAACCAAACCAAATCGTCACAGGTTTCGATTATCTAACATGAACAAAAGAGATCCGGAACACACACGACGTCTGCAAAAGCTTCATCAGCAGCAAACTCACAGCAGGTTCCCACGAGTGTGAATTAACAAGGGTGGCATGGCACCAAGTTACTGCACCAGCTTAATTCCTATGTACTACATACTGTACTTAGCAGTGGTGGTGCCACTAGCGGCGGAGGTGATGTTATCTATGATGCAAAGATGACACTCTCAGGACCTCCTCTTCCTCTTCTTCTTGTCCTCGGACTTGGCGCCTGCGTTCTTGAGCTGCAATGGAACACAACACCGTCAGCCATCTCAATGGATCACATCATATAAAAATGAATCGAATTTTAGCAACCGTGGGTGGAGGATGAGTAGTCAGCCAAGGTGGCTAGGGTGCTTACCCCGATGATGAGGACACAACGAGGACAATGGCGAAACTGGCGAAGAGGGTGAGTGCGTGCTTGATGTAGCCCATGACGCCGCGGCACGCCCTCTCGATGATCTCCTTCGTGTCATACACCATGTTAAACTTGTGGAGTTCTGATTTTTGAACCTTCCCAATAGTAATACATGTACTGGGCGGTACAAGATTGTTGAGCAGCTGACCCACAGAAACAAAAACACTCCTGGAGTGCACACGCAAAATCATTTACAAAAATAGTAGTAGCAAGAAGCAATAAATAGCCGCACATACACGTGTTTTTGAGAGTGAAACAACGGAGAGGCAAAGGTGTACGCAGCATAAACTTCATCCTGTTTTATGATGAGCACATCCACGATGCATCCTTTTTATGTTAACCAAGTGAAAGTACGGTGCTCATTCTGAAGCATAACCACAAGCACTTGTTTCTATTATATGAAGATGGAAACACAGAGGAAATCAGACTCACCATCAGAAGTAGATGAACTGAAAAGCGTACAAAAGATGAACTTGTGCATACAAAAGACAAACTGAATCACCATCTCTGTACTGAACTTATGTATCTATACAATGCAATCCTATTATTATATCTTGTCAAAAATCTCAAATTAAAATTTGAACTTATCGAACATGCACATGGAACGGACAACAATTCACATAAATATTGTGTTACTTCCCTAGACACTTCTACAATCACGGGAAATACAAGTCTACCCACACCACTATCCCAACCAAAATTGAAACTTGCATTCACAGGTTGTTGTGGAGTTTTCAACTTGTAACAACTAAAACACTTTAGCCGTAGTGTAACATCAAACCTTAAGAAAAAATGTCAGTTCTCATTGGGCATATGAACAATCAATCACCTTCTCTGCATCAATGGAAAATCATAGTTCATTACATGAAATCAAATTAGCAATCAATTTTTGTTGGTGAGAGATAAGAGAGAGGAGATACGAACGGGGAGTTCAACCCCGCTGCTACATCCTCCTCGGCAGAGGCACGCAGCGAGGATGCCACCTCGTTGCTATGCTTACAGGCAAACTGAATGTTGAAGTGCAGCAACAAGTTATTTGCCACATGGACAAAGAATTTTCTTCGGGTTTTATCTTGAACTTGCCTGGAAGTAACACTTGTACTCTAGTCCCAGTACAAGTATCATGCCTATAATTAGTGAACAAAAAAAGATGCAGAATTTACAAATGAAAAGATTAAAATAAAAGTTGAAACAACAGAGAAACTATGAAGCAAATAGCATGAGTGATCTTCTAGTTGAAGCACTATATTTTACTGATTTTTTTTGTCAGTGAACTTTTGTAATTTAGGTACTAGAACTCACTGATGTTATTTACTCTTCGTTTTTTGAAGGCATTTTTCAGTACATGTTGAATTCTTTTTTAAACACACCCACAGTTGAAATGGATTAGTACATGCGGAAAATATCAGTTTTCATAAGCAAAACTTGCACTGAATTAGTTAAACTCTGAATATGTTCAGAGAACATTAGAGTCTCATGCTACTCTAGGCCACACACCGAACCAAGCTTTTCAACATGATGCATCTTCTCATATGGAATGTATATACGGAACCAAAACAATTTCTTATAACACTTCTTAGCCCATTCGCTTCAAGCTTTAGAAGAAAAACTTTGGGGGGTAGGGAGAACAAAAGATGAATTTCTAAACTACATTTCTCTGTACTGAATTCCTATCAGATGTTGAACTTTCTAACCTGCAATTGCCCAGAAGCCGTCCCAAATTCTGCTTGGACTAATGTCCGTGTTCCACTTGGACGGCTACCAGTCACCATGGTGGATGAGCTCATGGCCAAGTGTGGCCAAGGAGACCACCGGGAACTGTAGGTGCTTGTGCAGCAACACATTTTTGCCCGGCTTCTCGACTCCCTGCCCAATTTTCCTGAGAAGCAAGATAGACAAGAGATAAATTCTTCTCTCTTACAGCTGAAAAATTAAACGCATCAAAAAAATCACATTTTTTATGCTCTCAACCTCCTGCATATATATTTAAACTGATGGTTTTCTCTCACTGAACATTCTACCTCGCAAGTTTGAACTATGCGAACTTTATTCTGGCCAAACTATTACAAATTTTCTATACAGCGAACTACCGTACAATATAAAACTGATTTTTTTTAACACACACATTGCACTGATTCATCTTTCCTTTATGAACTGATGATAAAATATATACTGGGCTGCTACACCAGCAGCAAATTCAGGAATACATGACATTTTTTGGATAGCAATCTAACAAGTGTTATAGCAAAGCAGGGAAAAGTACACGTTTTGAACTGCTCATGAACACGCATCAAGCAAAAAGTACAAACCAATTCTGGTTCACTAAAACATGAGTTAATTTTCAATATAGATTCACTAAAACGGCTTCTAATTTTTTTAAAACATCTAGCTTCTTATTTTTTTACTATTTGAATGTTGGAAATATGCCCTAGAGGCAATAATAAAAGTATTATTATATTTCAATGTTCATGATAAATGTCTTTTATTCATGCTATAACTGTATTATCCGGAAATCGTAATACACGTGTGAATACTTAGACCACAATGTGTCCCTGGTGAGCCTCTAGTTGACCAGCTCGTTGTGATCAACAGATAGTCATGGTTTCCTGACTATGGACATTGGATGTCGTTGATAACGGGATCACATCATTAGGAGAATGATGTGATGGACAAGACCCAATCCTAAGCATAGCATAAAAGATCGTGTAGTTCGTTTTGCTAGAGCTTTGCCAGTGTCAAGTATCTCTTCCTTCGACCATGAGATCGTGTAACTCCCGGATACCGTAAGAGTGCCTTGGGTGTATCAAACGTCACAACGTAACTGGGTGACTATAAAGGTGCATTACAGGTATCTCCGA